CAGGCGCCCTCGGCTTTCTTAGATCATCCAGTGGGAGTAGCGGCGCTTCAGGTTGTAGAGCACGGAGGCCTCGTTGAGGTGCGTCAGCATGGCCATGTCCTCGATCAGTTCGAACTTGGGGGGGTTCATGGGCTGCAGCTCGTCCTCCTTCACCACCCGCGTCTGCCAGAGGAGGGGGCACACATCAGACGGACCCCAGCCCCCACCGAACACCCTCTCCCCCAAAACCTCCCGGGGGGACGGACCTCCTGGCAGCCCCATGCTGTGGACAACCCTGGCCCCGTGCCTGCTGTCCTCCCGACAGAGCTGCTCTCCATTTCGGGGTGACGGGGCTAGGGGATCCTCACCAGCACCCCGGCCACAAAGCCCCGCTGGGAGAAGCGAACCCCAACCCGTCCCCTCTCCAGGGACACGGACTGTGGCCGAGCCTGGCAGCAGGGGTCCAAGCCGGGGGGCACCAAGATGTCACCCCACAACACGCTCGACACCCCCATCCTGCGCTCCTCTTCGCAGCCTCAGACCCCGCAGCAGCACGATCTCTCGCTTGGAGAGATCCCTGGTTATTCGGGCAAGCAGCTGAAGCACGTACCCCATCACTCCTGACTGGATTTATTTAATCCTGCAAAGCCAAGTGCTGGGAAACGATCGCGTTACCTATCTGACCCGAATGGAAGCAGCGGGATTTAGCAAATGGTTTTGTTAATAAAGATTAAATTAAACCTTTCAGAGAGGTTTGTTTAGGGTTGTTTTACAGGTGAATACGAAGCACTTGGTGTTAAAAGGTGTCCCGTGTTAAAAGCGGGAGGGTAGGTAGAAGGATAAGGGGGGGGTTCTGTCTCTGGAAACTGTTTCTGCTGGAAATGCTGATCCAGGGAAAGCAGATATAGTTTCAGATTTCGTAAATCCGTGACAAATTGTTAAAAAAGACAGTTTCAAGAGGGAACGGCAAAAAAGGTTTGGAAACCGCTTTGTTCGCAGAAGCTAAAGATCTTTTAAACATCAGAATAAACTTTTTCAATTTATACCCCCTCCTCAATGAATTTTATTTTGGAGAGGTCAAACTTCTTTACTTTTTTCCCCAGTTTCAGACAAAGATATTTTCAAAGCCTTGACGCTTTCCAAAGATGATTACATAAATTTCTTTTAAATTCGGCAGACAGGAGCGCTTCTCAGTGCCATGCTGGCCAGCTGAGAAACAGAAACAACAAAGGCTACCATCTACTGCCTGGTCAGGTCCGTGTTCTTTTTCCCAGTTTTACACCAGTGTAGTGATGTTGTAGGGCCATGCGACTCCCATAGCCAAGAAAAGAATATTAATTAAGCTCATTTACAGGTATTTGTACTGGATTTTATCTTGACAAATACCAGCTAATTGTTGCTTGCTGTGCCTCCCTCCCGCTGCCGGAAAGCTGGAGCCTCACCAGGAGACACAGCCGGTCCCACCTCTTTACCCAGCGCCCGTTCTCCCAACAGCACCCCTCACTCTGCTGCAAATCCTGGCTAAAACAAGGAGGACTTGGCCAGTTGGCCCCTTACCTCTTATTTCCACCTCGGAGATGAGCCGGGCAGCGGCTCAGCATCGCGAGGGGCTGTGCCGGGGCAGGCGCAGCCTTCATCAGCCCTTCCTCCCCGGCCGGGAGCTGCGCTGGGCCAGCCCGACCGTCCCGCTGCGGTCTGCCCCACAGGGTGAGCCGTGTTTGGAAGCAAACGCTCGATGGGGCGATGCTAAACCGCTACCACCCTTGGCAAGCCATTGGCCTACGTGTCCTGACACGCTGCCGTGTGTGTCCCCTCGGGGCAGGACCGATCACCAAGCACGGGAGGGTTATCAGCAGGAGCTCAGCTAGTTTCAGATGTGGTCTTGTCACACGTATCCCCCCTCCGCACACGCTCGCTAGCCCTTGGAAAAGGAAAGGTATTTTGCTTACCTCCTTATTTTTGGTTTCCACAGTGACTTTGCCACCAGAGCTGTCTTTGATTTCCACTTCAATATAAGCTTCTTTCTCATCTGGGATCCAAACTCGCTTCTTTCCTAGAGGACATAAGAAAGGAGAGGAGGGAAGGGAAGGGAAGGGAAGGGAAGGGAAGGGAAGGGAAGGGAAGGGAAGGGAAGGGAAGGGAACGGCAGGAGAGCGAACATGATGCAACATGATGCAACATGATGCAACATGATGCAACATGATGCAACGCAACGCAATGCAACACAACGCAAATAGGGAAGGGTTGAGTTCACAGCAGGGAAGGGAAGGGAAGGGAAGGGAGACACAACAGGTTGAAATATAGGAAAACCATTAGAAATTGTCAACTGAAAGCCACACGAATGCAGTCTGATAACATGGAAGGACAGTGATTATTTCTTCCTACGCTCTTGGTCATAGGAGCTGGGATTTCTTTGCCTTTTTCATGCTTGGCAGCTGTTTTCTTTGCCAGGGTCAACTTTTAGTCTGACAGAAGTCTGCTGCTTGCACTCAGACTGTCATAAAAAAAGGACGATGAGAGCAAGCAAAACTCTCCTCTTTTGCTCAGCCAGAGCACAAGCCGGGCCGTGGAGCCCAAGCACAGTGAGCTGTGGTACAGCGGCATGGCTGAGACAGACCGGGAGGGCTGTGGGGCGAGCTCTGCACAGCTCCCAAACTAAACAGAGCTGGAGAAGGCTTTGCCACCAGTACCTCAGCCTACGTCCCTCAGCCTTCCTGCCCCTCAGGGTCGGGGGAGATGAAGGGCCACCTCCTCCTGCATCTCACAAGGCAACGGGACAGTCGAAAATCTGCTTTTCCTACTTCTGAGATCTTCCTGTCCTCCACGGTGGTGGGGACAATTCTGCAGCACCCACGATACCACAGGTACCAGCACTGGGAAAGGGACGGGGATGGTCTCCAAAGAAAGCCACGGCCAAGGGGCTGGCTCGGGGCACACACATGGGGCTGTGCTGAGGGCTGCCTCGGGGTCTTACCATCGAACGGCATTGTCTGAAGCTTCAGCTGCTCCGTGTAGCTTTTCCGGAGGTATTCAGCAGCCTCCCCAAACTCGCTCATGTCCAGCATAGACATCTTGCCTGGCTGGAGGAAGACCTGGGCAGCAGCAAAGGAAGAGTGAAAGACACCTGAACACTGAAAGGAGGGAAGGGACAAGGAGTCAGTGTATGGGGAAAGCCCCCGCCGCTGGGCTGCTAACCAAGAGCAACATGGTCACCAAACGCGCTTTTAATTTTAGAGGGTGAGAGAAGACAGTGACCACAATGCTAGCTAATAATAACTATAATCACAAGACAATTACTGAACACTTCTTCTTCTGCTGCTATCAGCCTCGCACTGCGAGTCCCAGCTGGGTGAGCTGGCATTGCTTTGGCGTCAAAATCCACAGTCACATTTTAGGTGTCACCAGAGATCGTCGATGACGCCCTTTTTCTTGATAAACTCAGCTAAAACCTATTCCAGCTCTACAGACCTGTTGGAGCCCTGGTGCCCTGCGCAAAACCTCTACAAAGATCCAGGTCTGTTTCGCAGAGCAATATTGCCGGAAGATAAAAGCGAGACTGGAGTTATTATCCCTGGGAAGACCCCTGGTATAAGACCACCGTGACAGCTGCTTGGAAAAGCGCTTTTACGACAGTGCTTTCTAATACCCATCTAATGCGGCATCGCACAGCAGAGCTCCCAAACGCTGCAGCCATCACGAACGTAGCCACTGCTGGTAGCCAGCAACGTCGCAAAGCACGCAGACCTTCACAAAAACACCCTCGATCCAGGTCTGTCCCACCCTCCTCTGTCCCACCAGAGTCAGCCCCTGGCCTCGGGGAACATCCACCCTGCAGAGGGGAAGCGGGTTAGTAGCAGAGGACAAGCGTGCACACAGACATGCTCTTTCTTACTAACCTTGGTGATAGGACTGAGTGGCTGTGTGCGTGCTGCAAAGCCCCTTTTTATTGTGTCTGTCAAGGTCAGAGTGGGAAAAGATATGTCAGAAATTCCCATGTGTCATGTCCACACAGCTCCATTGGTGCTGCTGTCCCACTGCCCGGAGAGACACAAAAGGCAAACTTCGCTTTTATCTCTCTGCGAATGCAGCCTGGTTATTTTTACTCCTGTATTGTCAGGCGAGTACAAAGACTCCAGCTCGGGGAGGCAGCGCAGGTCTCCAAGCCTGCCCGCGCTGCCTGCTCCGGCGGGGAGCGGAGGAACGAGAGCTTCGCCGTTTCTTTTCTCCTGCACCTGAGCAATCGGTCCTCCCGCTTCTTCCCCGCACCCTGCCAGGAGAGCCGCTGCCCGGCGGGATGTGTGCGGCCACCAGCTTTCCCAGCTGGACATCCCAGCTTCTCGCTCCACTCTGGTTCAGCCTCCCCCTGGCCAGACTGCCCGGGAGCCAGGGACCGGGGAAGGACATCAGGGCTTGGTCTCTGCTGCCCCATTGTCTTCTTCTCAAAGGCTTGGCTTGTTTCCTGAGGCACACCAGCCCATCTAACACCAACCAAGCCAAACACCAGAATTTACTTTCCTGGTTATATGCATGAAATCAATCAAGAGATTTATCAGAGGGGCCTGATGCTCCCCTGTGCTGTAGTTGCCTGTGGGCAGCCCCCCAGGGTGGGCATGCTGCTGGGCAGGGAGGATCGAGCTGCCATGGATGGGCTCTGCCTTTGGCAAGCTCTGCCCAGCCATAACCCCCCAGGTCCTGCTTCCAGAGATCACTCAACTTGGTGTGGGAGCTTGGTTCACGGCTAGGCCAGATGCCAGATCTCTCAACAGACAAGTTGCTGGTTTCCTCCACATCCTTGTACCTGGGCAGCACCCAAAGACACTGTGTACAACGCGGTGATCGCAGCCCGGAGCACACCACCAGCCCAGCAGCACCACCACGAGCTGCCCGAGATGGGAACGACCCATGGCCGTGCCATGGGGATTTCTGTGCAAGGCTCAAGGAAAAGCCATTCTAGTTGCTGGCACCCAAAGTGTGGTGAGGTTTTGACCCGCTGGGTTGGCCGTGTTGCTGCATCCCCAAAGAACCCTCATGCCTGCCCACCAAGGACTCCGCTCCTCTCTTTGCCTTTGCTCTGGTGCAGTTAAAAAGAAAGCAGGGCTGGATGGGTTTTTGCACGTGGGAGCAGGGGCACTCGTGGGCTGCTTGGATTCAACACAGACTTGTGCGAAACGAGCTGCAGCCACCCCCAGCGCTGGAAATCAGCCTGACTAGAGCTGGGTGACTCGGGACCCCCAGGTGCAGGTGCAGGGAGGGGCAGCATCTGCCCCCCACCATGGTCCGGATGGCTGCATCCTCGGCCAGGGCATGTCTCGCTGCCAAACTGCTTCTTGGCTCCCCAGTCATTTGGTCACGTCCTGGGAACACAGAAATGAGAAATAACCCTGCCGAGGTGATACTGGAGAACCAGGGCCCATGGCTGCAGGGTTTTGCTATTCCTCGTTCAACACCTTTCAAACCCCAAAGTAACTTGGGGTTGCTGTATCCTCCCGAGAGCAGGGGAAACCGAGGCACAGGGTGATTACGGATTAGCTGCACAGTGCTGTGCCCAGGCTGGATGTGGCGTGGCCTCTGCCACCGCCAGAATAGCAGCATTGGGATCTGCTGAGGGCATGTGGCTTCAGTCTGGGCACACAGCCCAGGTTGCAGAGAGATTTTTGCAGCTCCAGGACCTGCCCTGAACCTAAGCCAGGCACTGGAGGGGTTTTCTGCTGAAGCCCCAGCAGTGGTCAGTCCTTCCATCCAGCTCACAGGCATAGTTTCCTGCTACACCCTGAGAGCCTGGGTTCCCAGTGCCATCTCCTCCACTCCCCCCCGACAACTTGCTTTGGGGAGAAGTCTGGGAGATTCATGGGATGCAGGAGGACTCCAGACCTGTCCCTTGAGGCTTGAGCCCCAGCAGAGAGGATGGCAGGGCTCAGGGACGGGCTGATGTTCCCGTCTCTGGCTGCGCAGTGTAATGTGAGCGCTTTGCACGGTGCCAGTCTTCCCCATGAATTACAATGCTCCCACGGAGAGGAGCCTGTGTCGGGAAGAAGATGACTTAGAGCACATCAGGATAGATGGGGTGCGAGCCCCCATCTCCATGACCCATGTGGGCACTCTCTCGCCAGGCTGGTAGTCACAAGCTCAGGTCCTCATTGGGATTTGGCAGCAGCTGGTGGGGAGCTGGACTCTGCAGATGTGTCTACTGCAACTCCTCTGGGGCAACCATCAGGGGACACCAGTCCTGAGATCACTCTTGACCATGATGTGACAGAGGTTCTCAATTCACCAAGATGGCAGAGTTTGAGAGTCCTGAAGAGCCACGGGCGCTGGTGGACCACAGGTCCCTCTGAGGTTACCCTGGTGGTCTTCTGCCTCTCTGTCCCAGGCTCGGAGTCAGGTTTCCACCCACACCCTGGAGGGACCCAAGGCCTTTGGCGGGTCTGGTGCCAAGTACCTTCACCACGAGCGCCCAGACCTACCAGCTGGCCCAGCCTCACACATTCTTCTCAGGGCATGTACTCGCCCCGCACTCTGCTCACCCCCTCCCCTGCCTTATCTTTAAAGCGATTTTATTTTCGGAGATTCCTTCTGCAGTTCCTTCTGTTCGCCCTGGTTTCTCTGCCTCTTTGAAGAGGTTCCAGCAGGATCCATCAAAGGCTGAGCAGATCTGTAGAAGGGGAAATGTGGAATGGTCGCTCCAGCAGCTGCTGAAGTGTGCTTCCGCTGGGCCCGGGCGCTGTCGGCACTGGTGTTTGTGATGTGGTTTTCAGGGTGGTAGGAAGCTCATCCTCACATTGCCAGCAAGGCCTGAGCCTGAGCTCGGACAGGTGAGACGGGGCATCTTCAGCAGGGCAGTGGCTGCAGAGGGCTCCTCCGGACCTCCTGCAAAACCCCATGGGCACCACGAGGAGCCCACAGCTTTAGCCTGAGCAGAGGGCGGTTTGCTTTAGGTGGCTATTGCCCAAAGCAAACAGTCTGCCTGAATGTCCCACCAGCCCTGCACGACCATCCTCAGCAGTGGGAGCATCTCCCCTGACCACTGAGGCAGCCCCGTTCATCCCCTCGTAGCCCTGTACTTGATGTTGGTGTCCCATGATTTGATGGAAGAGGATGGGGCTCTCAGCTGTGCCACCAAAGGCTGGACAAGCCTCTCCCCATGGGACAGGACACCACCAGCATCAGACCGCAGAGCTGCCCCTTCAGTGAGAATTTTGTGGTCAGATCAGCTCCCACCCAGCCCCAGAGAGCCAAGAGGGTGCCAGGGCCTCAGCCAGCCTCTCCGGAGAAATCGCCCGGCTGCTCCCCGACCCCGGGAGGAATGTTTCCCATTAGCAGGCCCTGATAAGTGGCAGGAAGGAGAATTACTGTAAATGTCAGGCAGTTCTCGAGAGGCTTCCACACTTAACATATCACTGCTATCAGCTCCCTGAAATGCACTGGAGGGGAGCGGAGGCGGCTGATTAGATAAAGACCATCTGCGGAGGGGCTGATTCAGGCATATTTCGGCGAGGATGTCTGCTTACAGCGAGACAGGCGGAGGTGACAGGCCAGTGCTGCCAGTCCGACAGCGTCCCTTTGGCTCAGCCTGGCCATGCAAGACTCCCTCCAAAGCAAAGCCCTACATCCCCACAGCCCTGTCGCACCAGGGCCAGGGAGACAGCCCCGCCACCCCGGCACAGCTCTCTGTCCACCCCTCGGCGTCAGCAGGAGCGGGGTGCCGCAGCCACGCTGCTGCAGGGACCCCCAAGGGCAAGTTCTCCTGTGGGGCGTGGGATGGGGCTAGCGCTGGATCCCCACATCTCACAGCTCTTGGGAACTTCCCAGCACGAGTGCCCTGCTGCCTGGATGTCCCACGGTGCTGGTCTCCCTGTCCTGAGCTGGCTGTCCTTCAGCCTGGGAGGAAGTGCTGCCTCTGCAACTCTTCATGAACACGCAAGAAGCTGCTGATGCCATGAGCACCCCGGTGCAGTGGTACACGCCTCACCACGGCATGAGGCTTGGGCAGCATGGACACGCTGGTGGCTGAGCCTCCGGGCACCGTGCTTACGCTGCATGCAGGAAGTCTTCAAAATGAGTATAGGGACTG